TCAATAATAGTAGATCCCATTTTTTCATCCAAAGACATATGGATAGTAGACTCTAGTGCAACTAAACATGTGTGTTCAGTTGCTGCTACTTTCATATCAATGAGTTTAATAGATAATTCCTTTGTTACTTTATCAAGCCACACGAATTCCAGTAAGGCTATGTGGTGACATCAAGTTGAACTCAGATCTTATCCTGCATAATGTTCTCTATGTGTCTTAATTCAAGTTCAATTTATTATGTGCCAGTGCATTGACCCTTGGATCTCAACTTACCATCACTTTCTTTCATGATCACTTCATCATTCATTATATCAAAATGAGAAAGACGACTGGTAGGGATGACCAGTTTTAGGATCTATATATTCTTAATGTCAAAGTTTTGAATTCTGTTTTCAATGCCTTTATAAATAATGTCTCAGCTCATGTTTGGCATAATAAACTTAGCCATCTTTCTTTTCAACGATTGAATAGTTTGAAAGACCGTTTGTTATACGATGTTACAAAGTTGAATAAAAACACTGAGTGTTATATTTGTCAACTTGCTAAATGGAGGATATTGTCTTTTGATTTACACAATCATATGTCAAAACATGCTGTTGATCTTGTGCGTTGTGATATTTGGGAGCCTTATCAAGTTACATGACATACGGGATATAGATTCTTCTTGACATTAGTTGATGATTGTTCAAGTTTCACATGGATATATTTGTCGAAAAAGAAATCAGATGCTCTAGCAGTTGTCCTAAGGTTCTTTAATATAATTTCCACACAATTCAATGCAAAGACAAAGCAGTTCAGATCTGACAACGCTCCTGAGTTAGCATTCCATGAATTCTTTGCTAAGAATGGGGCATTATATCGATTCAGTTGTGCTAAAAGACCACAAAAAAAGTCTGTGGTGGAACGTAAAAATCAACACCTTTTAAATGCAGCGCGCATCTAGAGTTCTAATAAAATTCTGCTCTCAATGTGTATTAGCAGCCACTTTTCTAATCAATCGAAGTTCATCTTCTCTTTTGAAACACAAGACAGTTTATGAAGTTTTGTACAACAAGCCTGCAGATTATTCTATACTCAGAGTATTTGGATGCTTAGCTTTTGCTTCCATCTTAACAGCTCTTCGAAATATATTCCAACCACGTACAAGGCTATTTGTTTTTCTGGGATATCCATATGGAATCGAAGGTTATAAAAAGTATGATGTAGTTACATAACAAGTATTCCTATCACGAGATGTTGTTTTTCATGAAGAGATATTTCCATTTCACACAAGTATTGGAGCTGATTATATGATAGATCATTTTCTTGACTTGGTATTATTAGCTCCTTCATTGTCTTTCCATCAAGATATCAACAATGAGTCTGATAAACATATCACTAATTTTATCCAACTTACTCCTTCACATGATTCTACACCTTCTTATTCACAAACCATTGATACATTTCGTGATTAAGCAAATATTGCTCAACCTTTAGTCATTGCTGCAAGAAAATCAAAACAAGCCATTAGACCTCCAAACTAGCTCAGAGATTTTCATTGCAACATGTTTTCTCAAAATTCCTGTTATGTTAATCATTTACCTTATCACATTGGTCAGTTTATATCTTATAATAAGCTATCTCCTACTCATAGACATTTAGTGTCAAATGTCTCATCCCAGTTTGAACCTCAGTATTTTCACTAAGCTATCAAATATCCTCAGTGGCATAAAGTAATAAAACTTGAGCTAGATGCCATGGAGCTTAATAACACTTGGTCTATTGTTCTCTTACCTCATGGTAAACATTCAGTTGGTTGCAGATGGAAATACAAAATCAATGATAAATCAAATGGATCAGTTGACAGACATAAGGCACGACTCGTTGCAAAATGCTATACACAGCTGGAGGGCCTTCATTACCTTGATACTTTTTCTCCAGTAGCAAAAATCGTGACAGTTAAGGTTTTGTTAGCTCTTACAGCATCTTACAACGGCACCTTTTTCAGCTAGATGTTAATAACACTTTTTTGAATGGTGACTTATTTGAGGAAATTTACATAGATCTTCATCTTGGTTATGCAATCAACAACGACGCCAAACATGGGGAGATGTTAGTCTGAAAATTACACAAGTCCATATATGGACTCAAGCTAGCAACAGGTAATGGAATTCAAAAATTCTTGCAAGCATTAATTCACTTTTATTTCTCCCAGTCAAAGGCCGATTATTCACTATTTACAAAAGGATTTGGAGAAAATTTTGTGGCATTACTAGTTTATGTTGATGATCTTGTCATTACCGGTCCTAATGTTAAAGCCATTGCAGATTTGGAATTATTCTTACATTCTCAATTAAAACTCAAAGATTTGGGGCATTTGAAATATTTTTTGGGGATTGAAATAGCTCGATCAAACTCAGGCCTGGTATTGTCTCAATGGTATTATACTCTGCAGCTGCTTAAAGATGTTGGATATATGGATTGTAAACCTGCTAATTCTCCGATGGATCCAAAGGCATATCTCAACTTACATGATGGAGATCTTAATTGGAAAGTTGATCTATTTTACTTTGTTCCAGCCTGATATTACTTATGTTGTCCATACGTTGAGTTAGTTTCTTTCTGAGCCTCGCCTTCCACACCTCAAAGCAGTACACCACCTTCTTCGCTACTTGAAAAGAAATCCTAGCCAAGGCTTATTCTATTAAGCAACAACTACATCTCCAATCAAATTGCAAGCCTTTTCATATGCTGATTGGGGATCATGTGTTGACACAAGAAAATCAACCACTGGTTTTTGCATTTTTTAAGAATCATTGATTTTTATGAAAGCTAAATGACAATCTACAGTTCATGATCATCAGCAGAAGCAGAATATCGTGCACTTTCTGCCACAATAAGTGAACTTTTATGGCTTAATCAGTTACCGAAAGATTTTTAGGCTCCTACACAATCTCGTGTCATCATTTTATGTGATAACCAAGCTGCAATCCAAATTGCTAACAACCTAGTCTTCCATGAACGGACTAAACACATTGAAATCGATTGTCACTTCATTCGTGACAAAATTGCAGCTGGTATGGTTAAACTCCTTCCAATTCGATCACACAATCAACTGCTGATGTTCTTACCAAACCTCTTCCTTCTTTGAGCCTTTTACCTTTGTTATCCAAGATGTCTGTTAAAAACATCTACAATACATCTTGGGGGGAGTATTAGAGCCAGCTAGCTGTGTACCTGCATTCTGTTTACATTCGATTTCTGTTAGATGGTTAGAAAGTTAGTTAAGTTGTTTTTAGTTAGTTAGTTAGTTTTGTTAGTTGATGTCTAGTTGGCATGCCCCTATATGTGTATTATTTATGCAGCTATCGTACTCTCTTCTTTGCAAGTAATGAATGATAATATTCATTCTCATTGTATACATATAAGCATAGTACCTTCTTATTGAGATCGGAATTGGATTTTGATCGATAATTAGAAGGAATCAGATCATTTTGTGGTGTGATGTATGTGTATATGTCTAGGTTTCAGACTCCTCTTCCCGTGTCAACTTCTACAATTGGTCCAGTTTGAGTTAAAATCGGGTTAGCTGCTAGAGGCAAGAGTTACTCAAAATTAAATAAAATATTAAATTTGATCTAAAAACATTAAAGCAACAGTAAACGGGAAATTTGTAAGCTATACGAATCATAATTCTTTGCTTGCAGACGCCTACTTATATTTGAAATTGTCGTCAACTTATTTTGGTACCGAGATATATATAATTACAATGTTGAGTTCACTTAACATATAAATAAGGTGAGCACATCACACTAAACAATTATCCAGGCATAATTGTCCCTCATCAGTCATCATGTGATTGCTCGTGAAAAGAATTTCTTCAATGAAAGGATGATTTAAGTAGATTTCTTGAATAGAAAATCGTAAATAGTCGAGGGTTGTGAGGCCATTGCTTTAAGCAGGCTTAAGCTAATTGAATTGAGCTCGTAAACTAGACTTTTTTGACATGTCAAGTGTGCACTTCAAGTCATATCGCATATAACTAGTCTTATTGATGAACTTAGTATTTAATATTCAAAGAGAGATATATAGAGAGAGAGAGCGAGTGAGCGAGCTTCAGGCTCACATTCTAAACCAGCAAAAAATTATAATCAACACAAGAGCATGTATACAATATTTTAGCTTTTCTATCTTCTTAAATTTTATCTATCGAGAGTAGTCAATACTATTGATAGAGTTGGAATCGGAGAGCATCCAAAGACGTCAATAGAAAGATGGACTTGCTTGCTGTAAATTTTTTGAGAATAAGTTTTGTGCAAAAAAAAAAAATATTGGAAGAATTTATGATTAAAAATAAAATTCAAAAAATCTATACCAAAGATGGACATAATCCAAAGTCAATATATCCCAACTTTGAAATAGTAATTAAAGAAAATGATTTCAGCATTTGGACTTTATCTTATTTTCCAATATTTAAAAAATGTCAATACTAAAAGTTCATTCATCATTTAAAATATTAAGGAGCGTCATCCATTTCTGAGCCGTAAAGATAAATAGTTACCTCATTAGTTAATTATCAATCTTAATCACAATTATTTCTTTGGTGGGATGAGATAATATATGTTTTCTGAGTGCTCCACTACTTCAATTGTTGCTTCATTAGTGCTTAATTTTGGCCTGCCACCAATTAATTAATCTAGAAATAGTAACAGTTTTTTACTATATAATTCTAACTTCTGCAGCTAATTTTCATATAATAATTCCAAGAAATTAAAGAAAAAGAAAGCTGGTAAATTCTGCAAACCCTAGCTAGTCTTCACTACCAACTTTTTCCCACCAGTCTGTAAAATTCGCCGGGGAATTTTTCCGAACAGACTTTGGAATGCTGTTCTCACAGTCGTTGAAATTCTATACATATATTAATATCGTTTATTACTAATCATCAATGGTTATAATTGAAAAAATATTCGTTTCCTTTTAATTAGTTTCTTTTATATTTTGCAGGTTTATTTACTGTGAATATGAAGGCCGTGGTTGTTCTCTTTATTGCCTCTTTACTGATCCTGGGAACTTGCCAGGCACATGCACAAACTTTCCCTATGAAAAATCGTCACCTTTTAAGCGATATAAATGGAAAGCGTGTTGCAGCAAACAAAGGATATTCTCAAGGAACAGAACGAAGTACTAAAATGAACCTCGACTCGAGCAAAAGAGTTAAAACCGAGGCTCATAATGACGATGATGATGACGATACAAGTTCTGGATCAGATAATCATCGCTATTTCCCAGACCAGGATAGACCTACTCGCAGCCCGCCGCGTCACCAGCTTTAGCCGCGCCCCATAGTTAAGTGAATCCATGCATGTCTATAATAGTGTGATTGCTTGTAATGATGTGAAACTGCACCTTGTAAGTGGCCGAAACTACCATATGGCATCACAAGGTTTGAATTATCGATTTGTGTAATATTATGATTGTTTACGAGTTAGGTTGCAATCTAGCTCGTTGAAGTACCAAGTGTGCTTTGTATCATAGGTATATATATTAAATAATTGTCGGCATGGATTTCTGGTTCGTTATAATTATTAATAGCAAATCTTGTTATCTATGACGCAATTTGCGAAGATCAAGCTTATCAATGCATTAATTATTGAGAGAGAGTCCATTTTATGTTGAAATTTATCTTGTACCGATGTGTGGCACTAAAGTGAAGAAAATGCAAATTTTTGTAAGAACCCAACAAATGTTACATATATCCATACTATAAAACCATAATCTTCTTAGTCTTACAAATCGAAAGGTCCACAGATTTCCCAGTTTATAGGAAATTGGAAGATACATTGGTCTAGTTGATCAAAAAATTTGTATTAAATTTAGGTATATTGCTTAACATAATAGACAGAGATGATATTACAAGTTCTTTAATAATCAATATATAGAGAATTGGGCAAAAACTATGTAGCATCTCTCTTTGATTTCAAATTTCTTTTAATTTTGGAAATAACACTACTATTTTCGTACTTATTACTCAGTTATGATTTCTTTAAATCAATAACAATGATTTTAGGCATGGCAGGATCATATGAAGAAACAACACAGGATAAACAAACTCACTGGTTCACGTGAATTACTGAAATGTAGACCAAAAACTTGGAGGGAACTCGACAAGTTTATGTTATTCAATGAAATCTAGCCCCGAAAGGCTGAAATAACCTCAGTCTTTAAAGAAAAAGAAGGCGAAAATGCAAAACAAATCCAGTTTTTCGACGAATCAAGAAGGGAATCTGTGGCTGCAATTTCCAATACCACTCAAAAGCAGCAGCTGTGGGCTTCCGACAGCCGAGTGCTTCGTTTGATGGAAGCACGAGGTGAGCTGCAATACTTTATTCTCTTCCTCTATAAACCGAAAACCTATTTGCCGATAGGAGTATCGGTTAGGAGTATAAGAGTATAGTATACTTCCTGCTGTTTGAAAGAACTTCCTTATGTCTTATGTTTACTAAGTTGGAGCCGAGTGCTTCGTTTGATGGAAGCACGAGGTGAGCTGCAATACTTTATTCTCTAGAGATGGTGCTGTTGACAAATCCAGCCTCGTTCTTTTCAATGTGAGCTTTAATCATTGCTATAGTTTTCTCCATTTGATGGAGAAGAAATCAGAATAATAATACCTGGACTGTCACAAGGATGTGGAAAAAAGGAACAAGCCAATGGTATCAGAGCCATAGTGTGGCCCTGGGCTTTAACTGAACCTAAATGTAGACGAGACCACCAAGCGGGCTCATCAATTTTGATACCCACAATTTCGTATGTGAAATACAAATATCCTCCAGAAGCAAATATTGGTCAGTTCTAAAAGTCTGTCACGTATTTTGCTGTAAAAATATGAAAATGTAAAAGTAATTTTCACGACGAATTCATTGACTTGTGATCAATGGGTTATTTTATTGATAAACATGTATTGCATTGTGATCCAGTAGGTTCTTAAATAGTGCTCAGCAATAATTTTACAGTGCTAAGCAATATTTTCAGGTAATTATATTCACTAAAATGTTGAAAAGTAAGCCCTAAAAGTTCCATTTATCAATATTGATCCACAGCGTCTTCCATTGTTTCCCAAAAAGGGAAACAAATTAAGTTAAATTATGAGTCATATATTATAAAAATGAAAATTTAAGTAAATATAAATTTTAATCATAATTACTTTTCTTTCTGCTGTAGCATTGAGTGCTCCACTCCAATCCATTCTTATTCCATTTGTGTTTAAATAATCTTCGTTCCCCACTAATTATAAGTTGAAAAACAATAAACAAAACCTCCGTACAATGTGAATTCTGAAGCCACTTCTCTTACATGCAGTAAATACGAAGTAAAAATTAAGTAAAAGAAGTTATGTTTACTTATAAGTTACTCTTATTTTCTGTCAGATTATAATTTGATGATGAAGACTTTGATTATTCTCTCTCTTGCCTCGTTGTTGATAGCAGGGAATTTCCAGGCTCGTGCAAAAATGCTTCGCATGAGGAATAATCGTGTAACATATATCAGATATAACGTGAAAGTTTCAGAAAGTAAGTATTAGTTTGTGTAATAAGTATGTTTTGTCTTAATGCAACAGTAAATTGTTGGGTGTAAAATTGCGTTGTCTACAATAAGACAAGCCATGGCTGCAAGAATTTCTTTTTGTTTCAGAGTTAAAAACATTTTTTAAATAAACATATGTATGTTGCAATAATAAATGCAGGTTTTCTGCAAAACTTATATTGATTTAATACAAGGCCAGGAAACCAGCTGTGAAATCAAATAAAACCTCTACCTACTGTACACTTTTCCTCTAACCTGTATTGCTATATAAAATTTCATGAGGGGGTCAGTTGGTGAGAGCCATGAGAAAGCTTGCGCTCTCTTCTCCAATATAGTGAAATCTCGCAGCAGCAAGCAGAAGCACATAATTTTGGTTGAGAGCGTATTTCATTCTATTTATTTTCATTCTCGAAAAGAGAGATTAGGGCTTAATCCGCAGCATATTTTTAAGCAGACACTACACAAATGTAGCTTGAGTGCCTCAAAGCAGCTGATTACAGAAGCCAAGATCTATCTCCTTGCACAATTAACATATGTTTCTGAAACTAGGATCTTTGAACAAGACAAATCTCAATTGTATTTATGTTTCTCTTTTTGCCCAAGGTTAGAAACAAAAGGCAAGAACACTGAAGAATACAAAGTACTCAATCCTGAATTCACTACAAGAGGATTTGTTTTCCATCTCCTTAATTTTTTCTCCATGCTGCTTAGGTACAAAGATGGAGCACTTAACTTTGAGTTCAACGTTGCGGAGTAGCATATTATTTCTGTTCTTGCCACACTTTTCTCATAAGCAAGAAAAAATTCAACTTTAAAGCTTTTTCTTTTTCTTTTTTTTGCTTTTGTAAGATTGTTCTTATATCAATCAGACAAAACACAAATTTGAAAATATCAAGACCCGTGTTCTTCATTTTAACAGAAATTTAAACCTCCTAAAATATGAAGTGAGCATTCTTAAAATTGGAAAGTAAGATTAAATTGTGCCAGAATAAGGGATAAAGTTGTTTTCTAAACATAAGTACTGTTTGTCAGAATTTTATAAAACTTTAAATCTTAAGAATATGAAATCTTAATTATTTTATTGTCACATCCTCCGGTCAAATCACTAAGAAAATTGTGTCTTGAATCTTAAATTGTAATCCTTAAATCTTGACTTTTTAATCTTTAATTCTTGATTTCTTGTTCTTCAATTTGATTCTTGATTGTGGGTTTTGAATCTTCATGGTCAATATGTTTTCTTTTGTTGATGAGATGGGACAAAAAATGAGAAATTATATATGAATTGAAGACCATAATCTTATATATAATTTCCATATGTATATCGTTCATCATGAAATACAATTCTAGAGAAATATGATCTCTACACATATTGAAAGTTACGCAGTTCGACTCTAACAACATCTAGATGAGGGTGAATAAGTGTAATATGCCGAATTTAAAATTACTTAACGAATTAATCAGCAACAATTCACTTTTTAATTCTTTTTCTAGATGATTATCCATGCAAGTCAACTTTAGTCCTAAGTTTGAATACCGCAGTTGTAAAATCGATCAATATAATGAAAGTAGTAATCAACACCAAGATGATTACATAGAAACCCAATTGGGAAAAAACTCCGGGCACTTTACCGGTCAATACACTATAAATTATTCTGTACTTAGAGTCTACCAGACTAGACGACGACATGAACTATCTGATCTCCTGACTGCTTTCCTGAATTCTGTGCTCCCCTACACCAATTCCAGCTGCAATCACCAACGCTTTCCTGAATCTTCGCTATCCTGCAGCAGCCTCTAGCTTGGTAGAGTCGCCTATCTCCTGTGGATCATGAAGAACAACCCGTTTTTCACATACTAGAACTCCAATTGCCTTCCTCTATCTTCAGCACCTGTGACAGATATGTAGAAAGTAGTGGTTTTGATATTTGGACGTTGAATATGATATTTTTCTGACCAAAACACTCACACAGGATGAAGGTTGAATAATATTATATGGAGGAATCACTTTTTGATCTGTTTATCTCAATGTTCAACCTTAGAATCTCATACAGGTGAATTCTAATATTTATATGTAGGTCAAAAACGAATGGCCCAAGGAAAAAACCTTTAAATCGCGAAATAAAAAATTTTCAAATAAAGCTGTCGCTCGAGCGAAGGTTCAGCTACAGTCGAGCGATAGGCTGTTGCTCGAGTGAAGAAGGGACGACAGTTTAGCGATGCAGTTTCTGTTTTTGTAGCTCGAGCCAACCAATGACGACAATCTAGCGAAAATTCGCATTATTTTCCTCCTTGTTCAAAACTCGAAACCCTAGACCTATTTAACTAACTTTTAAACAAATTGTACATTACTTCTTGAACTTTTACAATATGTCATTTCAGTCCTTTTGTTCACAAAATTTGCCAATTACAAAATCAACTAAAACCTAACAAACTCCTCATTTGACATTTTGTGACCAAACACTAATCTTTGTCAAGACAGTAATCAAATAAAAGTTACATACTAAAAATAAAGACAACCTAAACTACACACTGTTTTGAACGAACTCTGCAATACCTATTTCCTAAAATCGATAGCTCAAATACCAGTCTAAAATATGTGGAAAATAGGATCAATAATACATATTGTTAAAACAGTTTGAGTGAAGATGTCATTAAAGCAATTGTAACTCAAATAACATATTTTTCAGTTCTAGATCACAAGCTAAACTAAGACACAGTATCAATTCAACCCAACATACCAAAAATGAAACAT